AGACATCCATCCATTTTGTAACCACTCTATCCCATACCCATGGTTTGTGACAATATAAAAAGAAAGATATTAGTCATATGCAGTATCCTCACTAATGAATTATCTTGATTCAGCACTGCACTATAAAAATTATGAAAAGGGAAGAAATTGCATTTAATATGTGTTGTATCTGCCAAGCATAAATTATCATGGATTGAGGTACAACTACCATTAAAAATTCAATTTAAGGAAAACGCATATTCAGCTGCTGTGTTTTAAATGCATTAGAAATGATGTAATTAAACACTTCTTACGTTTGAGAGAGTCCGATCTGACTCCTTCAATGACTGTTAGAAACAACATCCACATCAGGATCACAACAAAGTCTTCAAATCTCCACTGCTGTGCCATGTTCCCTGACATCTCAGGATTCAGTATTGAATGTTTCCTGTGACAGAAAAAGCAAAATTCTTTAAAATGACACAGGCAAAATAACTTTCAAACTTTCCATTTCCTGAAAATAAATAACTGTAAATGTTTCAAAGGCACATAGTATGAGTGAGCATGTGTAGAAAGCTCACCGTTTTTGAACCATTCATCTTTTTAAATCCAGAAAGCTCCACAGAGCACTGATAGGAAGAACAGCATGTCTCTTACTAATATCAAGGCACACTGGTAGGTGCCTGGGAAGTCACAGGTGTCACTTTTGCCCATTTACTGATTACTTAACTGGGGTTCTTCAACTGAAGGTGCACAACTGACTAATTTCTGCAGGCCAAACATAGTGACAGACCACCCAAATTTGCACACAAAAAGGTGATTGTTTTCGACAGGGTCTGCAGTCTGTGTCAGGGTTTGTAGTAGACCCTATGCAATGCAGTAAGAGCTGGAGAAAACAGGAGGCGTGGTATGGGAGAACACACAGTGGTTTAATGGTGCACAAAATAACAGTGACAGTCCGTGTCATTAATCCATCCTCTGACGCGACAAGGTTAAAATCCCTGGGAAGGGGGAAAACATGAACATACACAAAGCATGGAGGTCCTAGGATGACGGGGCGAGCTCCTCCAGACCCTGGGCTCGGGAAACGGGAGGTGTCGGGGATGAGGCCTATGCCCTCAGGAGACGGACATAGGATATCCCGATGCTAGACGGGCCTTGCGACATCTGTACCTTAATGTTGAACCCCGAGGACTGGAGGAGCTCGACTTTATAGCAGTACACATGACAGGCCACACCTGGGGAACATAGCAACAATCTCGGGACTAATGACAGGAGTAGTGGAGTGCCCTCTAGGGGAGGAATGTCGGGCGTGACAGTGTTTTCTGACCCCTGGGACACCAAATGAAGCACATCAACTGATCCCATTGGTTTGTTTGGTTGGTCTGTCACTACGTTTGGAGTGTGGAATCCCTCCAGTCTGTGAGTGTCGGCCAAAGGGTTTCTGTACAAGAGTGACCCCTATGGCATGCTTCTCCAATCCTAGTAGCAGAGAGCCAGTGTGTCTGCAGGTTTTCTAAGTCCCCAAGACCTTCAAACAATAATGAATTGATATAAGTCAAGTGGAATGAAAACTTACAGACACACCAGCCCTCCAGAACTAGGATCGGCCCTGCCCTGTGGTTAGCTAGGCGCCTAGGATACCACAGTGTTATCAGCGACAGCCACAACATTATGTTCAATGTAACTCTGCTGTAGTTAGTGCTTACAATGTGAAAAAAGGTGGTTAACTTGATAAGTGCAAATTTAGGAGGCGGATCTGCACAGTCCTTTCTCCTTCTCTGTTGGCACTGATTGATGAGCCAACTGCAATCCCAGGAGACTGATGGGGATTTAAAAAGAAAAGCAATTTGAAAAAGTGCATGACATTTTGCAGTGGAGTTTTAAGTGTTCCAGTGCACTGCTAAAATATGTCACTAAAATGTTTAGTTTGAGGCAATCTTTAGATATGCTGTGTCTAGTCCATTATGATCCAGCACTTTAATGATGTGCTTTTGCAATAGTATAAGTGCCATAAAAACAACTATTTAAAATGCCTATTATCCTTAATTTGGGATCAATTTAAATCAACTACAAACAATGTAATATTTAATATGCAGCAAATCCATGCCCTGGAACTTTGCCTGTCTGTTCCAGTTCCATTATTTTTATTGTAATCCAGTCATTCCCTCGACAGACTAATATTTACATTTTTACCTTTAGCTCGAATGAGAAGCACTGAACAGCTTGGAATAATGTTCAAAAGACACAGATTTATCAACGTTTGTGTAAATTACTATAATCTTTTAACATTATTTTTCACGTTGCTGGTGTTATAGGAGGATTATAGATTACTTTGTAGTCCATCATTTAAATCTTCTAAACAGCTCATTACTTCAAATGCTATGTGCCAGCTCTTGATTAAAAAATAGAGCAGTGGAGGTTTTTGTACAACTACATTCATTAACCACCTTGTTTAGCTAATATCCTCTTATGGTAACAAAGACCCTTCTAAAAATAGGGTCCTCAACTACAGATTTTTATAGACTACCCTTTGCTTTATGAACATTTACAGTAGCTTGAAAGGGAAACTTTTACAGCTTCATCATCATAGGAAAAAACAAACTTAACTTTGAATATTACATTTATCAATATAATATATATATTTAGAATTAATTTAAACAGCGCAACCATGAGGGGAAGACAAATTCAGACATTAAGGAATGTTTTTGAAGAGAACTTTGATAAAGTGAGTCACAGAGGTTACTGTTCTTGGTGTGGAAACTGTTCAGAACAAAGGTAAACCTAACTAACTTTAACTAAGACACTCACAGAGATGTTAGAAGGTACAGGCCAGGAATACAAATTAGTCAAATTATAACTTTGACACAAACAGAATGCACAGAAAAATAAACAAAATAGAATGAGCTGAGAAAAAAGCACAATTACAATGTCTGAAGAGAGAACAATTATGTGAAGCATGGTTCAATACCTATGATGTAATCTGGTTTAGCAGTATGAGACCCAGACACAAAATTGTCTCCTTGTACACATCACTAACCTGCCTGATTTAACAGCAATTAAGAATTCTCATATCCTCACACTCTCCTTTACACCACAGATGAACAGCTCTGATGACTTTATGGTTATTTTGCTTTCAGACATTGTTATTGTGCTTACTCTTATAAAAGTACTATTACTAATATTATTAGCAGCTATTTATTTCCAGCAAACAGCTTTTATGTTTGGTAAGAATCCTAATTCATTTTGAACATATTAAAACAGCCAGACATTTCATTTATTAATGCCTCGTTCCAATCATGGCAAGTTACTTCAAAAAATGTTTATGTAAACAGAATCCAAAACCAAACACTACAAAAACAGAACATATTTAGAGCAATTAGGACCATGTGGTAGTGATCAACATAACATATTTAATTCATTTAACGTGCAAATTTAAAAGATATATTCATTAGGTTTTAATTTTCAAATTAAACGTAGTCATATCCAACAGTCGAAGACCATCTATATAATAGCATAAACTGTACTGTTTATACTCATTTTCTCTTTATGCCCAAGACCAAAACCACTTGCAATCTTAAGCTTACTGTATAAAAAAAATATTGCTTGAAATACGTATCCCAGAGTTTAGGGACCATCAAACTAAAGTTGTCTCCTTGGATCTTACAGGTTAACCTCTTGGACTAAAAGATGAACCACATTGGCAGGTGACTTTATACATCCTTGTGTCATATCCATATGCTAGCCATGTGGGACGTGTCTATCTGGAATCCTTCAAACATTTGTGCTTAGTCTTTATGACATGCTCATTCAAAATAAAGTCAAGCAGCATTCACAATTTGACTCACTTTGTACTGATCTCAAGATTAACGTGTGTACTTCTTAGTTATAAACGAGTCCTGCTTAAAGCTTAATACACTTAAGCTTAAGACACAGAACGGAAAGGACATTTGCAAATCCGTATTCAAAAGAGAGGTCTAATTATAGGGATTAACATGTAACATAATAACTAGTGTGGCAGTCAAAGGATTATTTCTTTGAATAATTTCATGCTGGGATCTCATACAGGCAACAGTAATCCCTTCTACAGTATAAAAGTCTCATCTGCACGTACAGTACTACACCTCCATCTTTTTTTTGGAGTGAACACCTTTTAGATACTTTAAATTATAAAATATAGATTTGCTTTCAGATTTAAAATAAATGTTGTGGGAGTGGTGATGACATAAATAGAGGGTTTAGGGTTTGATATTGGACTGGCTCACTTCTTTGTAGAATTTACATTTCTGCCTGTGTTTGCATTAGTTTTGCCTGGAACTGTGATTTCCTACCATCTCTCACAAGCATGCTAGAATTTTATTTGGCTCTACAAAATTTCCCATTGCATAGGGATTGGCAGTAGGAAATCCTCTTCATTAACACACCCTTTTAGAAGTACCTCTGCTACACTGCTGAGCAATTTGATTGGTACATGGTTCTGCAGGAGGACAGAAGTTTCAGTGGAAAATGAAAACACTGCCATTTTATGTCTTAGAATATTCAATGAATTTACTAAAAATGATCCAACAAATAGACCTAACTGTAAGTTAGTCATTTAAAAAAAGGACTGAATAATTATAATGGTGTCAAGTGAAGATTTCTATACTGTAGACTCAGTATTTTCTTTTTAGAAAAAAAGACTGTCAAGCCAAATATGTTTTCCTATTATAATAAGTGGAGACTTGAGTCTTTTCTTTTTGTATTTTAGGGGCTTGTTATATTTATATTTATACCATTCCCAATTATGTAAAGAATTATGCTTCTTTACATAATTACCAATGCTGTCGCCAATCTTTTTGCTCCAACACGGCTTACAACTGGAAACCAACTCTTCCAAGAAAAACTTCCACCCAAGACAAAATCATCATTTATTTCCAGACCAACACCACATCAGTCCCAGCGATGAGTGATTGGATTAGGTAAAAATATGATCTTAGAACCTTTGATTTTCTTTCTTAAATTCTAACATGAAATCTGCCTGATTCGTTTTTCAGCAGCTCTCTCTGTGCTCCTTCTTGAGTATTTCTGTTTCCTGAATGGAGTACAGTCCTGTTTAAATGGGGTATCCCATTTCTACTGTCTATAAAATTACAAATCGTCTTCAAAATGACCCAATCCCCCACTTCTCCTCTTCTCCTGAAGAGAATTTCATATGGATACCAGGATATTTCTCTTGCAGTACTTTTTATACCTTGTGTACTCAAGATAATGGCTCAATACAAAACACTTTTATCCCCGTTTTTATTGCTACTCAGTGTTCCTAGCACACCTCCTGCACATCTAAAAAGCTTTGCTGTCTTTGACATGAAACAAGGATGTATGCAAAAGATGGCAGTTTACAAAATGGTAGGAGACGGATAAATTCGTAATAAATGTTGAACGCTTTCGTATACCTGACATATACATTACAGTAACATAAAAACGTTAACGTTGTAAGGGCATGTGCAATTTTTCCATATTTCTAAGAAAATATTGTTCAGATGTGCTTGTAGTTGGACGCATATTGAGTAGGAATCTAATATTTTCGCGGTTATATTTTCAGGCCCTTACACATCTAATCTTGAAGTATCTCTAATTAGTAAAATGTGTCCTTATTTAATTGACTTTCTATTTTCTCAAAGGACAAAGAAATAATAAATAATAAATTAATGTTCCCTATCTAAACAACTAAGTTTAAAATACAAAAATAAACTTTAAAATTGAAAGAGTCTTACGTTATATTAGCAAAGGCACGTTTTTCATTAGGATTAACCCATTATCACACATTTAGAAAATCTGCTATTCACGGTGTTCTTTGAGCATTACAGACAATTTTAAGAGGATTCGTGCAATTGAGAGTGTCATTCCGACAGTTCAAGAGAATAAAACTCGTGCGCCTTCCATCTCTTAAAGGCACACAATATCGTAAATTAATACATTGATATTGTTGTTATATTAGTTACGTAAATGGCCAAACTTTTATGTATACACAAAAAATTTTAAACTAAGTTTTCGAAGAATAGCGAGAAATAAAATTATAGGTCAGATGACTTCTATATTCCGTTTATTCTGGAGTACAACAGCAGCATGATAACAATAACTCATGAGCTGGGCTCTGTCGACGACGTTTAAAGATTCGGCAAATGATTTGTTGACTATTGTTATTCACAATGACGATGGATAACATGAGTTTGCATCATCATTAAAGTTTAATTTTAAAAATATACAACCAATCAAAACCAGGTTTATTATTTTACAATATATTTGTGTATTGCTTGAAGTCAATGTAAGATTGGTGTTTTTAAAGATAAAGGCAATGTTCATGGGTCAATATAAGTACATTAAAGTGTTTAAGCAATAATAGCCCAGATTGCACTTAATCATATTTAAATCAAAGTTTTTAGAGCAAACTATAGGTCTTACAAATATTCATTTAATAGGAAATTCGAATTCATTCTTAAAATAGTATTATGATGTTCTGAATTTTTAATTATTTAAAAATCACCATCATCATACTTTTTTAAAATAGATGACATATATACAAAATAAAACACTCTAGCGCTACCGGTGACAGTGAAATTAATCAAATGCAGTAATATATTAGAAGAACAAAAGTAATACGCAAGGTTATTTGTACTATATTCGTATTAAGTGGTTTAAAAGAAAACTTACCAAAACTGTGTTTTACGCAGTGCCTTATTTCCTCAGCACGCCAATGAAGTACCAATTCCCAATTTTTTTCAGCACCGTTTCGCACGTAAGAGTCCGTGAGCTATTCTCGATTTTTTGTCAGATTCTCAAGTTTCCAAAACTCAGCTCACATGATAAGAGTGAAAACTGTTCCCGAAGAGTATACGATTATGTCTTTTAATAAAAAGGAGTAGCACCTGACAAAAGGAGAAGTGATGTTAACTTAAAAAATAACTTGTTTCGACTGGGACACCTGACTACTCCTGACTACTCTCGACCAAAACCGATTCAAATTGACTCGGATGAGTAAAGGGCTTGTCAGTAAGGCACAACACTAAATATTCCCTCCTGGCGCTCTCTAATCTCATCTGTGAAATACAGTCAAGAGGCAGCAGGAAAGAAAAAAAGTCAGGGGAAAACGTTCTGCCAACTTTTTTTTTTCACATCCCGATTGAGAACAGCAGATCTGCTTAAAAGAAAACTGGACTCTTGGTGTTTGGTTATTTTCCACAGAGACTACTTGTGTGTGGCGTTGAGCTAATTGAGATTTTACAAGCCTTAAGTTAGGGGCCAGAGGAAACAAATCTGCTAGGTGAGAGAAAACACACAAAACTTTTAGATACCTTATGATGTGTAGTATTTAAAATGAACATTGAGATCCGAAACAATTAATAAAGTCTTGTCTGTAGTTAATGTTAATAAATAGTATACAATGCCAAAACAGTGTAAGGAAATTATGTCTTTGTTTTTCATTTTTCATTGTGTGCCATAGCAAATGTACATGTGTCTAGCTCATGTCAAGGACTTGATAGAGTGAGTTAATATTCTCCTCCCATCCTGTGGAGCAGGGACCAGCTGTGCGTTTATACTAGAAAGTACAGATGAGCTGATGGATACAACACAATTTCCAGTCTCATCCCTGGTACAGTATAAACTGATATTAAAATCATACAGTGTTGCAGACCAGTATCTCACGATAATATTTTTGTCTCTCAAGCAGTCTGCTTTTGTAAGAGTGAACATCATACTGAACTGAACCAACAGATGTTTGCAGTTAGATTGGCTTTCCTTCTTGTGACCAATACTCAGTCCTTTTCAAGGGCAAAGAGGAATGATTCTCTTTCCATACCATCAGGATAGATTCCTCTTACAGCCAGTCATCTGCCATGTAGCCTTGTCAGTTCCAGTTTGTCATAAAACAATTAAAACATAACTCTTAGAGATTGTGGAGTCTCCATGCAGTGCTTCAGCAAATACTTGGCATCATCTTTAGGACTTGCTGCATGACTGTCTTCCTAACTTTCAAGACCTGTTGCATTCTGTTTGAGGTGACACAAGATTCACGTCACAAATCTAAATATTCTCTCCACCGCGATGACAAACTAATGTATTTATGACAAGCTAGCTTTACATTACATACTTTAGCATACATCTGTCTATTAACAAAGCAATACTTTTTATTTATCAAACCTCACAAAGTTCGTAAGAATTTATATGGCTTACAGGCAAAAATGTCTTCCTTGGCATCCAAACTAACTGAAGCCATCTGTCTAAGCATTTGCCAATTGGTTGCAAAACAAAAGCTTTTTAAAGAAAAGAAAATAAACCTTGTCAAAGATATCACTTCGTATTTCATTATATTTGGCCAGATCACATTGATTTACTAAAAATAGAAAAACCAATACAGAAAACAAAAACAAAGAACATGTACAATTACACTAAACAACTTCAAACTGCAGTAGGGGATTTTAATTTTGGTTATTAGGGGCAAGTAATAGCACAAGCATTCTGACAGATATGCTAATTATTAGATTTACTATACAGTACATTAAATTTATAATAATAATTCCTTACAGTTATATAGCAGTTTTCTAGACACTGCACTCAAAGTGTTTTACAGGTAATGGGGACTCCCCTCCACCACTACCAATGTGCAGCATCCACCTGGATGATGTGACGGTAGCCACAGTGCACCAGAACTCTCACCACAGATCAACAATTAGTAGGGAGGAGAACATAGTTGAATCATAGAGGAGGATATTAGGAGGCAATGACTGGTTAAGGCCAATGAGATTTGGCCAGGATGCCGGGGTAACACCCCTACTCTTTTTGAGAAATGCCCCAGGATTTTTAATGACCACAGAGAGTCGGCGCCTTTTTACAGTGTGGTGTCCCTGTCACTATACTGGGGCATTAGGACCCACACAAACTGTGGGGTAAGCACCCCCTACTTGCCCAACTAACACCGCTTCCAGCAGCAACCTTAGCTTTCCCAGGAGGTCTCCCATCCAGGTACTGACCAGGCTCACACCTGCTTAGCTTCAGTAGGCTGAGCAAAAATGATAACATTTCTATAAATAATCCTCTGACATATATAGATATCTATCACAACAATCTCTCATTAAATGACCACATTAAAAATATAACATTAAAATAAACAAGGGGGCAATCAAATACACTATTTACTTAGTAGTAAAAACGCATTAATTAACACCACATACTGTATATGAGATTTTATGCTAATTTTGACTGATATCAATATCAGTACATTTCCATAGAGCATATTTAACGGTGATTTTCATAGAGCTCACATAACAAACGATAAGATCAAGAGTTATTACTTAACAAATAATTTATCAAGAGTGCATAACTTTTAAAAGCCCATATGACCAAATATTGGCACAACATCCTTTTATTTGCTAATCCAATACAATACTGCCTATCCTGACACACAATTTTCTCAGAAGCCAAATAACCTACCGGTAAGCCTTTGGATTGTGGGAGGAAAACAGAGCACCTGGAGGAAACCCACACAAACTTGAGGAGAACTTTCAAACTCCATACACACCCCAGCATTGGAACCTAGGGCCACAGTGCTACAAGGCAGCAATGCTATCATTGCACCACCATGCCACACATTAGCACAAAAGTTTAACTACATAAATAACCTATCCCTGATTCAAATACCATAGATTCTAAACAAGTTTATAATTGTGTACATGCCATTTCAAACAGATGTATCACATTTTTCCACAAAAAATCTTGAGATTTCTTGAAAAAATTTCTACTGGCAAAACAAAATCCAGAATAAAGTACTGCACGTCACATTATAAGAGATGTTTGGAACAATGTTGTTCTATGCCTTTTCTCTTCATTGTATCTATTGTGGCCTAAGTTGTATGCACTGTACTGTATGTTACCTCTATACAGCTTTTTGTACACATTCAAGATGGATTGTTATATATTAAAGATCATTTACCAGTAATATCCGTCTTTTCAATAAAACAAAAATATTAGCACCTGACATACTAGATCACACAGCATCGGTTCTGAAACCCTATACATCACATTTGTCCTGTGGAGAGGTCTTTATCAGGACTCGCTTTTCCATGTCCACTAACTCAGTTGAAAGATGATCTTCTCATTCAGTACTCATGTTCCTTTTTATTAAACCAGTGAAAACAGTTATTCAGAAACTGCAACTACTGTATATTTTAACAATTTTATATTTAATAGTCATTTATCGGTACACTGAGTAAACACAGTTAATGGGAGTTTAACACCTGATTTAACAGAAACTAAAAATAAAAAACCTGACTTCACAAAATGCCGAACACCTCGTGTTATTTTCTTTGCTGTTGTACAAAGATCAAAGGTTGTTAACTTTCTTGCCCTTCCTCAAAACACTTCTGGGGACTACCAGCTTACAGTAGTAAAAACCCTTGTAAGGTCTCATAATTGAACGGTCTGATAATTCAAAGGTAGTGAAATTATTCCAAGACTGAAAAACAGTATTTTCGATAGTGTTACTGCCTTGACTTGCTCAATTAAACCTGTACACTGTGACAATGTGGCTGATAAAGACATTTTCAGTACACCTTTGTAGATAGATAAGACTTTATTGATCCTGAAGGGAAATTGATGTGTTACAGCAACCCAGCCCAAGATAAGCAAAAACAGACATCAGAATAGATGAAAAATTAAAATATGTACAGTAATACAAAATAAATATAAAATAAAATAAATACATACGTGTGTGCAAAATATGCTCAATGTCACTGTAAAAACAATTGAATATGTGCAAAATGTGCATAGGTATATACAGATTGAGTGTCCAAAAAAACTACAATGGTGCAACATGCTGTCCATAGATGAGCAAATCAAGGGCTAACAGTCCTAGTCTAGGGCAGCGTTATACACCCTGACAGCCACTGGGAGGAAAGACCTGCGGAAATGTTCCCTTGAACACTAGCTTGAGCAGTCCGTTGCTAAAAGTGCTCCACTGCCTAATAACAGTCCCATGAAGCGGATGAGAGGCGTTGTTCATGATGGCTGTGAGCTTGGTCAGCATTCTCCTCTCAGCCACCACCTCAAGGGGGTCAAGGCTCAGCCCCAACTCAGAGCCAGCCTTCTTCCTAAGTTTATTAAGCCTATTTGCATAGGCAATTTATGATTGGTTACCTAGGATCCGCATTATGATGAGCCTCAAGTGCACTATTTTATTTGTAGCTAATGAACGTCCTTTAGAGGTCAGAATGCACACTGTCAGCAGGCAGGGTTACGTGAATCAGCGCCTATTAAGGAATGTTTTTTTTTGTAAATGCAATGCTGATGGACTGAACTTTTTCAAAACTGAATCCTGCCTCTAGAGGACAGCAAAGGCTGCAAACACAGCAGCGGTCGGACACTGTTGGGACTGCATGTTCCAGCTCTGTTGAAGTGTCATGAAAGTGTCTCTGAAAATTGCACAACAGGATATGGGAAGAAAATGGGAGGAGAGGGTGGGGGAGGCTACAATACAAATGGCATTTCTGCCACAAAAACTTTAGATCACAGAAATCAGATTCTGAACTGTTATATAATTCCCCACTTAATCTGATTACCAGTAGTTAAATTACTCTGATATATTACATATTTTAAGAATAATACATTAATAAGGCAAGCAATTCAATTTATTAGGGTTACAGTCATAGTGAAATTACTCTTAGGTATGGACATAAATCCAGAGATGGTGATATGAGGTGGATGTGCAAAAAGTGATTTTACTACTGAATATATGCATGGAGATCTGTGAGGACACTGATCGCATATTGCATGGAAGATGTTTAGGGCAGGTAAAGATCTTGAATAGGAGAACCACAATATGCTGCTTTTTCATTGACACCCTCTTGGCACATTCTGAAAGCCCATATTTTCATATAGAGGAACGATCTGGAAGCTCTGCAGCCTGCCTGACAATGGCCTGCATTCAGCCAAAGATAGACGTGACACAACAGACCATGTAATGGCAGAAATTAATTAAAAGCTTGGGCTGGGGAAACGAAAAACTGCCGCATTAACTTGACTGAAAAGTTTAGAAGCAAATCGCACTCCTGAACCTTCTGTAGATTGGGATATCTAACTTGGCCCAGTGTCCTACATGTTAAGGTTTCATTGCTATTATTATTAGATTTTTAACAACAAATTTACTTCACATAAATGTACTTTATTACTACTGTTATTTTGGAAATAAACATATTACTAGGAGCAACATATCTGAAATACAAACAGGAATTTAAAAGTACAGGAATTCATAACAAGAATATACAGAATAGGTAAAATCATCCAAGTCTTCAGCAACTTGTGGGAAGCCATTTAGGAATGAAAATCACTCTTCCTTGTGTTATACAACTCTTTCTTTTGCAGGATTGGAATATAGTGAAATACATGGGAGTCAATTTTATTTTTGCTTATGTCACTGACCTAACCTTTATCAAGTACTGAATGCATAGAAATACTTTAAAGCAGGAGTCTCCTACCCTGATGTGGGAAAGCCTCAGTCTACAGGGTTAGTAGTGGTTTAGTGGAACAATTTAATTATGATCAGGCAGTGTATTCAATTAAATCATTTAGAGATCACGTGAAACAAAAATCAGAATATCCTTCAGTTCTCAAGAGCCAGTGCTTCCTTCATTGAAACAGGCTTGCTCAATTAGTTTATTGCTTAAACAAGTGTTCCTAACCTTCAAATAACAGTTGATCTAGGTGTTATTTAAATCTAGATTAAATTACACCTGCCAGCAGCTACTGTATATCACCCTGTAATTCACAACAGGTACCCCACTAATACTAAGCAGACATAAACCTGGCCAGTACCTGGATGAGAGGCCTCCTGGGAAAGCTTGCTGTTGGAAGATGTAGTATGATGATGGGAACACTATACTGTAAAAGAGACACCATCCTTTGGATTACATCCATAATCAAGGTCCTGACTCTGTGTGGTCATTAAAAATCCCAGTCTGTTTCTTGAAAAGAGTCAGGGTGTTAACCTGATGTCCTAGCCAAATTTTCCCCCGGCCTTTATCATGGCCTCTTAATAATCCCCATCTATGAATTGGCTTCGTTACAGTTTTCCTCCACGCGCATAGCTGATGTGTGGTGAGCGTACTGGTGCACTTTGGCGTCCATCGCATTTTCTAGGTGGGAGCCACACATTGGTATTGGTGGAGTGGAGTCTCCATTACCTGTAAAGTGTTTTGAGTGGAGTGTCCAGAAAAGCGCTAGACAGGTGTGAAGATTAATCAGTTCATCCCGGATCTATGGTGACCTATAAAAATAACAGGATTGGAGATTAGAGAACCCTGCTTTAAGAAATGCAGCTTCAAGAAATATATCAGATTTTATGAAAATCTTCTCTGCCAAAATCATGTGGAGCACACGTTTTATTTCAGAATTGCCATTTTGCACTATGATGCTATAGGTGCTTTATAAGGGAGTCCATGATGCAGAAAAGCCATCATTAAACTCCATCACCTAGCAACACAGAAACTGCAATGCATAACAGCAACACCTGAAAACCAGAGGTAGCATCTCCAAGACACATTTAGTACTAAATATTCAGTTCATAATTCCCCCAAATTTATTTTAATTAACAACAGTGTGAGAGACTTATCTAGATTAGTCTGTAAATTTGGACTCGGGTCAAAAAGAGCTGTAATGCAATGCACAATAAACCACCACCCTCAGGTTCACTAATGAAAACAAAGAATTATTTGAAACAACATTCACACCAAAAATGGAATACTACTCAACAGTATTTTGGAGACTATTAATCTCCATTAAACATGTGACTTGTACAGGACTGGAAAGGGGGCAAGCTTGAAGAAAAACAATCGGATAAATGTTCCTTTTATTTTATAAACCCTCATAACAAACAGCTTCACTGTTCTCTCCCCTTTCCATGCACCCTGGACTGTGTGAAAACCCTGTAGAGTCCAAATACAGAGGCAGTGAAATTATCAGTGCTGGAATACAGCCAGGACAACCAATTTATAGAACTGTGGCAACTGCCCAGCAGGGAACATTTTATATGAGAACATTTTTTAGATTTTATTTGCATACCTCATTTTTCCAAGAAAGAACATTGCTTAAATTTATAATGAAACATGTATTTGAAATTAGGTTAATGTTTTGAATAAGCGCTATATATATTCCATTTCCTATAATAAGCACATGCATTAATGGAAAAAGCACGTAGTTTTGAAATTTCAAGTGCCATTAGAAAAAGCACACCATATTGTCAATCACTGCTGTTTGGAAAAAAATAGATCATTAAAGTGAGAAAAGTCAAACCTGGCATGGTTTGTAAATTCAATTGCCAGGTCTAATAGAACTAAACACAACAGTCATAAAAATTCAGAGAAATTACATTTAGTCAAAAATGTATAAAAAATGAATACAGAATAACATAATTGGAGTGTGCCTTTATTTAAAACCAAAAATGCTATGATCCAAAAAACTTAGAACAATTACAAAATATACAAGAGATCCCTTATTAGGATGAGAAATTGTTAACACGTGTCTTGGCTAGATTTCAATCAGAGCTTGCACAATTGGAGCAATCCAACACTCCCCCTTAATTTAACTGTGGCAATTTCTCTTTTCTACCTTGTCTGCTGGATAGTGAAGTTACCCCCCCAATTTCCCACCAATGTAAAAAATCTAACAATACTAGCTAGAGGGAACACCCATGAAAATGTAAAACACACAGGAGCTAAAGAGTTTCAGACTGCAGGTTGAGATTGTATTACTGCGTGAATGACTTATAAAAAGTGCCAAAGGTCTTAACAGCCTGCATCATAAGCATTAGAAAACTATACTCAAGAGCCATTGATAATCTACTTTGAGCTGTATTTTAAGACTTTTCTTCCCGTTAAACTACTCAATTACTACTCAGACATCTACTATAGTCACTCTCGTGTAGCTTTGGATACTTGTTCTGCTAGAATGTGTTTTTTTGCCAAGCCTTTAGCTGAATGAAGCAGGTGTTCTTGTATTATTTTTACCCAAAGGACACATCTGAAGAAGGCTCCACAGACATAATGTTCTCTTTTCAGCATTGAATAAACCTTGCTGACACAGCTACCTACTTGAAATTCTTTATATGCTTTGCTCACAGTTGTGATAGCTAATGGGGTCAATGATGTTCCCTTAAGCATTTAGAAAACGATGAACTCAAGTGTCAAGCTTAGTATTAAAAAAAGTAACAGGTGATGTACGGGACAAAAGTAATGGAAATGTGTGTGATAGCTTCCTGCACCCTTCCTTTACATAGTCACATGCTGGTGTCTTAAAAACACTTCAATAATATGGCCTTATTAGGTCTGTAATCTTTACCCCATTATTTGAGAAATTGCCCAGTGCCAACATCCTTTACACCACAAATGTTAAATATGATCTTTTATTAAACGGTACTAGGAGGTCTCAATGAATAAACAGCATTCAGATTAGTAAGTTAAACACAAAGACAAAAATTGAAATATTTGAAGACAAAATGTATTTACAGACTAGCTATTTACATTTACTTCAAGTACTCTGGGTATTGCTAGACTTGTCATCTTGTGCACTTCAGCACCTGTAATATTGAAACACAGATCTCTCGACATCGATGGGAAACCAATGTCCCTCTTTCAAAAGCTTGATTTGACAAAGAAGTACATTGTTTTTAAAATAAAAAAACATAATTAAAAGAAAATCTAATAAAACAGTTAGAATTATACTTTATTTTTTAATAACAAAAGACGACAAACTATAAAAACTACAACACAGAGCTACCCCCCATGGGGCCCACAAACCAGTAGAGTACAGGCTGGGGTGCAAAGGAGACGAAGGCTTTCAAAACTCCTCTCGAATTGGTGTGCAACCTGAGAAGAAACTGCTGTTGGTGCTAAGAACCCGTTTCTTTTTCTTCAGGATGCTGGCCGTGCTCCTATCAACGTCATCCTCCTCCCCGGCAGGAGGCTTCCTCTCCAGCTTCAAGTTTGGCACAAGTTGACCCATGTCGCCAATCTCCATGAGTACCTGCAGCAACACAGGACAATCTCTGAGCCTTGTGCTCAAAAAACTTTCATGAGTGATGTCTTAACTGACCCAAAAACTTTTTCAAACTCTTCATCTTAGCTTCCTAGCTCCTTCACATGAAAATTAGGTATATGTAATTTTAATCAAATATAACATGAGGAAATTCTCAGGCTACCTTCTTAGTTGGTGTGATAGATGGGGGTCTGAAAAAGGTGGAGTCTCCAGGGCTAATGGCTGTTGGATCCTGTGGTCTGAAGGATGATTCAGAATCCCTAGAAGTGTCTTCTTTTTCAGTAGTGTCCTTTACAAAAACAGTACATTCACAGATTATAATACATTTTTGGCAAAAAAAGACTTAACTTCAGTGTACAACGAAAACAGTAATGCTCGTTTTCCTTAAGGCACAATGAATATAAGCACTTACTCTGACATTTAGCAGCCTTATAACCTATGATACATGTAGTTATCCACGCAAGACTATGGAATGACAGCAAAGATTTTTAAAGTACATACGTAAGTCATAAATTGAAAATAAATGAAATCGTCATGACCGTAACAGAGACTGAATTCAAATTATAAATGAGTCTACTGTATATAAATATACATACATATACATGTGTTGCTGCTGGAAGCTTGATGTTTTTAAAGAAAATCCCATCAATGAGTACACTTACATTGCCTGTTGGAGCCGTCTCCATGTTTCGGCACTTTTGAGGATCACACTGGCAGTTCTCGCCGCAGTTCACCTGTCCTTTCCGGCAGCCACACAGTTTGTTCCCACAGCGTCCCTTACAGGAGCACTACACAAGAGGCACATTTTGCAAACAAGGTCAGAAGTCTGCTTCATTTGACATGCCTTTACATGTTCAGCTGGGTAGCTGCATCAGCATGCATAAGCTGAAAAGGCATAAGTAATAAGTTTATTCAATGCTGAAAAAAAGAAGAAAGAAAACACAACGTTTCGGCCGTGGAGCCTTCTCACCTGAGCTCATACCTGAAGAAAGCTCCACAGCCGAAATGTTGTGTTTTCTTTCTTCTTTTTTTCAGCATGGAATAAACCTATTACTTATGCCTTTACATGGTAGAGCAGCTTTGTCACCAGAACCATTAAATGTATCACAGCAGCTTTCTTTCTACTAGAAAGTAACATGTAGCTCAATAATCCCGATACCAGTTCTTTAAATACTTGGAATCTGCCTTTTTAAAATTTTAAACCACTCCATCTCTTTCCACCTGCCTATTTATTCGATACAAAGAATTTTGCGTATTCATTCAAATGACTTTGGGGGGAAAAAAAATCCATTTTAATTGTGCCTGTTCAGCTTAACATGACACTAAAAAATAGAAAATTAACAGATGGTGCTGCCACTTGTTTTTGACAAGTCCCTTCCAAGAAATTTTATAACTTAATAACCATTAAACCAACACAGCACCAGACTGCTATCTCACCCCTCCATTTTTCTTGATGTTTTTGGTGGGCAGTTTCTCTGGGACCCACTCATCATTTTCATCTCCCTCAGAATCAGAGAAGGTGACCAGGTCTTCCAGATTCACAGGAGGAGCCAACGTGGCAGCCTTTGCTGTAGTGAACCGCCGAACCTTGGGCTACAGGAGAAAAAAAGATTTACAGTGCTTTTTAAAAGGCAGGTGGAACACTACAGAACAAGCACACTGCATGCTCTACCCACATTTAGGGATCAAGGAGCAGTAATAATTCTCCATACAACAAAATCTTAACACGATTTTTGATACATTTTTGTATGACATGGCTTGACAGAAAAAAAACAACTTTCAAATTGTATAAGTAGGGATGCTCAATGATTGAAGCTAATTGGGCAATAAATCAAAATGAGTTTCGGCAAATCATACCTTAGGAGGGACATACTCAAAGGAAGAGTCTGGGGACTGATCTGCCACTGTCAACTTGCTTGTCATTTTCTTGCCGCTGGTTACCTGCAGCAGGGCAAATTTCTGTGGATCACAAGACAAAAGAAAAGCAAAATAAACTTAAATTAAAGATGAAAGAAATAAGACACAACTTAACTCACCTTACTGTGCTTCTAATACATTGGATTCTGCTAAGATTTGGTGTTGACTTAACACTTAAAGGTTAGATTAATACTGACTGAGTAAAGATGACAGGGGACCAGATCAGGTTATTTAAAGGCTTCCCAAAGACCCAAGACTGATTGGACTTAGTCTAAACATAGTTAACAACACTTAATAGCCATGCAACATCCCTTCCATAGGCCACACCTGCTTGTAAAGTTCATTCTCCTCCATGAGCTTCTGATTCATTTCACTGAGCTCCTTCATTTTCTCAATCTCTTCCTCCTATAGTAAACAAACCAAAAATAAACCATTCTGCAAATTAAAACATTTTCTGCAAATCTGCAAATGAGTGTGATATTGAATATCAATAAAGTTTAAGGCACAAGTCCAGAAAAGCATTTTGTATCTGCAAACTGGATCTATTAACAAATCCAGCTTAAAGAGGAAACTCTCCTGTAGAAAAAACATGAATCCATAACCATAATCCAGAATGTGACTAAAGGACAACATTTTTAAAAATCTGGTTTAATCTTTCAGGACCATTTTTTTTCAATACACACTGCAGGTGCCCCTTGTAATATTAACTTCATTTTTAATTGGCACACAGAAGACCACCAAATTGAGCAATCTTGGCTTGACAGAAAAAAACTCACCTGAAATTTTAACCGCTGGAGCAGCTCCTTCTCTCTAGCAGACTCTTCCTCTTTCTCCTCTGCAACTTTTGACTTATTTTGTAATTGGCTAAGCAGATAAAGAACCTGGGACAAAAGAAGGGAATCACTCGGGTTCATGCAGTAGCAATGCATCAATAAAGGCTTATGATTTTCATCTAAACAATTTTAATTAAAAAACAATTCTATATGTTCAAACACTTGTTGTATGTCAACCCCAATTTTTATTCAAATAAACGGTAGAAATTGGATAGCTAGAAAACGCAATTAAATCAGCAAACAAAAATGCTTTGCATTCATTTTACCTTTCATTGAATGCAACATATACCAGATTGGATGTTTCTGTTTCAATTAATGGAATTTCAAAACCAATTAAACAAAAACACGGTTTTTAAAACTTATATTTACTAAATAAAATGTTTACCCCAAACAGAATAAAACAGCTTTTTAAGAATCATGAGTTTCAAAATCAAAAAGTAGTGTCAGGTTTGATAATTGTGCTTACTAGTTTGATAATCAAAAGAATCTTTAACCTAGTCAAGGCCTCAACCCATTAACTAGCATAAGACTTATTGCAGTGTGATAAAGCACAGCTAGCATTTGCAAAGCTCATTTTGAAATCCAGTTAAGAACCGACAAGCTTACTTTCTCCTGATGAGCCTGCTCCAGCTCTATTAAATGGCTCTGGTGCTCCATTTGCATATCAGACATTACTTTCCTCTCATCACAGAGAGCTCTCTGGAGGTCTGTGTAGTTGGTCTTCTCTTGCTTCAGATCACTATCCAGCTTTGAAGTGCTCACTTTGGCTGAAACAAGCTGCAGAGAGAAAATCCAGTCTTCATTACAAAGACAAGCAAAGACATACATACAATTTGCAGGAAGACCTTTTAATGGCCAAGTCATGAATTTTAACCTTATGTACTGTATACCATTATTGATATTGATCCTTATGTAACATCAGGTATATTATAAGTACTCAGGCCAATGGGCTTGTCTTGTGTAAATCACCCATGACTTTGTAATTTATTTGCCCTGGGTATCGATGCATTTTGGAGTAAGATAAGACACAAGCACAGACATGTAAAATTTTTAAAATACTTTTTTGCTTTAGGGTGCTTGCTGTTTTTCCATAGACAAATTCAAAACCTTTTCCAGGAAGATTTTTATATTTTAAAGATACATTTATAACTTTTGTCTTTCTGTTAAACATGGGCATGCTTAGTTGACATTTTTCTAGTGACTAATTGCCCCTTTTAAGGAATAAAATATCAAATTATTAATAAACACAGAATGAAAATCTAAATTTGTTTTTCCATCAGTTTACCATCTGCTGCTTTTCCCAGAAAACAAGCAGAACAGAGTGTAAGAAAAACTCCCTTTGGCTCAGATATTGTGGGTAATGGTGCATAATATTACAATTTATCAATGCATACACAAGTTGATGTAGAATACTATTTGCGCAGACATACCGTTTCTTACTTTATTACTGAAATCTTTTACTTGCAAATTTGCAACATTAATAACAGCCTGAGCTGTGTGACTGTTTACAGAAACTATGTCAGAATTTTGTGCCACAGTTCTATAATTTGCTCCACTTAAAGGCTAAGATGTCTTTTATCATGATCTGATAGAAGACTATAGCTATAGATTGCATATTACATTGTGATTTTGGATGACAAATTTCAATGACAGGTTTTCTAATTCACTCATGTTCCTAGCTATGGCTAAATATATATTCCCAGATATCTATGCGAAACGAGATTGCTAATTTTTTTCCTATTGGACAAAATTATCCAGGTCATTTTGACATTTCTTCCTGTTAGGTAGCATTACTTTTTCGCCATTGTTACGCTGGTTGTCTTGGCTGAGCCACGTTCTCATACCCAGCCTATTGCTGTCTCAAATGAATAATAGCTCAATGTTTTTCAGGTAGCCAATTTCTGAAGCACAGGTCATGTGTATTTTTTAACACCGATATATTTTTGTGTAGTGAACTTCATTTGATCAGCATTATTTTGATACCAAGATTTGCAAACTCATTCCAAACATTTCCAGGCCTGGAAATCACTCATGTTTAATTCTATACCTTTCCAGACCTGCACAAGCATCCTATGCTTATGTATAGCTGTAGAAAAATGTAGTCACATTTTGTGAGGTTAACTTTACAGTAGCTTGTGGGGTTGAGAAGCTGAAGACACTGCTCTCCCCTCACCCTCTCCTCATTTCTTTGCAATTCCCAGTTTATGCAAAAAGTATAACCTTTGTTTTCCAGCCAAAAAACTGGGGTATAATTCACTGTAGAAGGATGGAAATATGGCACAGATTTAACTGCGTAACCCTTTTTGCTGTGAAAAAAGGAAGCGGTCTATAGCCTCACCTCTCCCATCAGGAATTTGAGGGCACACTTGGCCTCCAGTATAGTGGTAATCGTCTCCCAGCGCTGCTTTACTCTCTCCTCATGGTCTGCGTCAAGCACCTTCTGCTGCAAGTCAGCAATCTGTGCACTCCTGAGAGGTTTAAAGAGATGATAGTTGCAATTCGGGACATAGACCTATAACATGTTGTCTTGTTTCTCTATCTTTTCCCTCAGTTGTGCAGGCACATTGTTGAATCTTACCTGAGCGCCATCTCTGTCTCCAGGTTTTCAACTTGCTTCCCAAGAGAGGCCTCCAGTTCGCCCTGGTTCGCCAACTCGGCTGTTGTAAAAGTACGTCGCTGCAGGAAAAACAAACATCAGTACAACCGCCACCATCTGTCTTCAAGCACTGTGCACTCTGTGCATAAGGGACTCATGGACTTTACACATGTACATCATTTAGGTTATACAAATTGGAGTGCAAATTCTTGAACAGGACCAGAATCAAAGACTTGACAGATTCAGAAATAGTCAAACTAAGCAAGAATACATGCACCAATCTTAAAAACATTTGTCTTCAAAGTCTAGTGAAACGAAAATGATATACAAGCCTGAGCACATTGCATCAAAGGAGAGCCACTTACCCGGACTTTGGCAGCTGGACGTTCCCCTGCCTCCATCTGCTGTTTAAGTTGAGAGATCTCCTCGGCCAAGATCTTCCTGTCCTCCAGCAGGTCACGGAGATGGCGGCGGGCCTCCTCCGTGCTCACCAGCACCTCCACCTCGTTCTGAAGCCAGCTCTGTCACAAAAGGTCATAGCCGGTAGTGTCGGAGCCAGACAATACTATTCTACACTGTCAGCTGTATTTTGAAAGTTGGGAAGCATACAATGCTAAACTGAAGCATTTAAAGAGAATTTATTCAAAATACTTTACATGTCCAAAGCAATATGAAAGCCCTTCTTTATGTATTTTTATAACATCTTGTTCTTATGCTTTATCTACTGCCATGAGCACAGCTAGTACACATTCTAAATATTCCCTTCCTACAATGTAGCGTTTATGAAGCTAATTGAGCCATGTTAGACATAAATAAGAGTTTGTGCTGCTCACCACATATATTATTTCTGTATCATGCAATAATTCCTGGATAGCAATTTCCAGTCTCAAAAAACCTATGCTTGGCCTTTCTTAAGGGTTTAGCTTTGAAAATTACCTTCACTCTACCGGCCATTCCCTCCATTCCCCGGTTTTGATTCTCTTTTCGTTTCTCTGCAGCCTCACTCCTCTTCAGCAGGGCATCCTTCAGGCGTTTGTTTGCTGCAGCTGCCTAAACCCGAAGGACAGCAACAATGATCAAAAACAAAACACTTATAACAGGCAGCTAGTATAGCCTAGCCTAGAAACTAGTATAGCCTCAACCAATGTTAAAGAACCCTGTAGAACAGTAGTTCCTTAAATTTCATTTTTCCCCAGGTTTTTACATTTGTTTTTACAGGTAAATGTAAAAAGAACAGTTCTTAAACATATTTAATAAATTTGTAGATTAAGAAATTTCTTATTATTCTCTGCAATATTTAAGGAGTTCATACTGAAAAATCCACAAAACCTTCAAAAGTTAAGCAGAGCAAACTTGCATAAAAAGAGCACCACTAAAGAATTGTAAAGTAACTTAAAGTTGTGTCTTCTAGTGGGCTGCGTTAGGTGAGGGAACAAGGTATCTATTCGCAAATAACTGTTGTAACCATGTGACCAAAATATGAAACCATGGTGCAGGGAAGTCCTGGGTAGCTCAACTGGTAGAGGCACTGGTCAGGGAGCAAGTTAATCTCTATGATCCAGGCATTGTGGGTTCAAGCCTGGGTCACTTCAAACAGGTGGAGTTCGAAGCACAATCAGCTGAGCACCACCAGGGGAAGGTTTGGGATTAGTCTACCAGGGCTTTGTTGGCTGTCTGCAACAAACAAACTCCTGTAATGTCCTGGATGCTTGTGGCTTTTTGGCATGGTAGCTTATGTGTTAAAATGGGCAGGTCAGAGGAGCCCGATTTAAAAATAACAGAACTGGCTATTTGATACTAGTGTTTATAAGACAAAATAAGTGGTGATTATAAATAAGAATGATTAATATTCACAACTTTGTTTAGTATTTTATGACTTATGATGGCAACAAACTCAAAGTTATCAGGAAAATGACAAAGCTTTGCAGCAGCAGCACCAACATTTAAGTAGATTAACATATAAGATGTAAAGATCTATATATTTAAGTGAATTTCAGCACACTCATGCAGGAGTACACAAAACTCTCACCTCCTCCGTCTTGCGCCTTAAAACACTGGCTTGTTTCTGAAAGTCTCTCTCCAGCTTTAGCATCTCATACTGCCTTTTGCGGTCCTGCAGAGAGAATCAAAATATAAAGGACAAAAATCAAACACTTCCAAATGTTCAAAATATTTGAGAATAAACACCTCTAAAAATAAGAAAAGCTAGTTTTCTTCCTCAATAAGAGAAAAAAATGGAATACTGGAAAACTGAGTTGCTTTTATTTCTCTGGACATGACTTTCATAGACAATGAAGCATTAATTCAGCAAAAATAAGAATACCAGGGGAAATCTTGCATTTTAGTAGACAACCTGAAATATTTATGTACAGAAACCAGGATGCAATTAGATATCTAGATCAGAGTAGGAATTCCTCAGCCTCACCTTCTCCTTAAGCTGCATCACTTCCTTATCTTTCTTCTGCTTCCACTGGCGGAACTTCTCAGAATCCTCCTTCATCTGTCTCATGAGCTGGACTCTTTGAGCTTTCATTGCCTGCAGAGAATCAAAGGTTTTACGTCTTTACACAGAGATTGGTGGCATTCCGAACTGGAATATTCTCCTTCTGGAAATGATGTTCAGGGATCGTCTGCAGAGTCTTATATAGCATAATAGTAGATGCGCCTGTGGCTGGAAGGTTGCCGGTTCATATCCCGCGGCTGGCAAAGGAATCCTACTCTGTTGGGTCCCTGAGCAAGGCCCTTAACCCCAACTGCACCAGGGGCGCCGTATAAATGTCTGACCCTGTGCTCTGACCCCAAGCTTCTCTCTCAAGGAGAGCAAGTTGTGGTATGCAAAAAGACAAATTCCTAGTACAAGAAATTGTATATGGCCAATAAAGTGATCTTGTCTCTAAATCCTGAACTTGTACTGCATTAGTACAGTTATTAGATTCTATAGTTAATGAAGCCCAAAAGGGATTCACAGAAAACAGTTGTGCAATAGGTAACTATACATCTTGAAAACTTTTTTTTTTAATCTGTTTACTCAGACTTCTAAGAAGTCAGTCTTCACTGCCTAGGTAAATGGTTTGATATCAGGGCAGCCTTGTTCTTCCACAGCAGCCCTTCAGGGCTGTGTGCTGTGTCTCATCCTGCATTCTTTACACTCAGCTCTAGAAGCCCTCTTAAGGGGAAGAAACAGCATGAAGTTTAGCTGTTGTCACTGTCAGTCTCCCCCAAGGCCTCAACACTAATCATGTACCCGTGCTGGACTATTTTACTGAATAGTGTATTAACGCCTTCCTTCAACTTAATGTGTAGCAAACCAAAGATATAATCATTGATTACAGAAAGCAACCACCAGCTGCAAAACAAATTGAAGAGTAATAAATTGAAATTGTCAAGTTACAAATATCCTGGCACTATTGTACATTACAAGTTTTGAGGAAAAATCATATAACATATGTGAAAAAAAAACTAAGAGCAATTGATCTTCTTGAGATAACCGCACTCTTTTAATGTGTGTAAGACAATGATGACTATTCTATAGAACTTTTATTGAACCTGATCTAACAACTACTATGGTAGCCTAGTTTAAAGACGCAATAAAGACAGACAAGTGTGTGTTACCTGGATCTCTTGGTTTAGTTTCGCCACATTGCGCACAGAAGACTCTTTGATCTTCAGCAGCTTGGACTGTTCCAGTAGCTGCTTCTTCAAGTCAGACAGCTGGCTTTCCAGCTCTTGCAGCCGCTTCCTGCGCTGCTCGCTGAGCCTAGAGGAGACATTTCCTCAGTGTCAAAAAATTTTATGGCAACCCCTATCACACTCATTAGTTACAAGTCATCATCAACGACTCTGTACTAGCAGATAAATGAACTCCAAACTACTACATTTTACCAGACAGAACAAGAGTTCCATTTTAAATACTTCAAAAAAGAGCAAAAAGAAAAACTCAAATTTCTGGTCTTCCTACAACATGAATTACATGGAACAACATATACAAAATAAGACAGAAGTGACTTTCGATTGCTGCTTTTTAAATAATGGAAAGAATAAGCTCAGCTTGAGTCATATTCCTAGCTTATCTCGGCAACATCCAAGAACAGTATTAAGTATATTGTTCATTTTCACTTTAGCTTCACTGGTGTGCTTTTGTTTTGTTGATGAACCTTAAGACTCACTTGGCTTGGTTAGTGTCCTTTTTTGCAGAATGGAGAGCCAGAATGAGATCCTCTTTTTCCTTTTGCAAAAATCCAACATCAGCCTGGAGGGACTTTATGTTTTCCTGTGAAATGTCCCATGCACAAAAGATGCATATTAGAAAGAAAATACTCCATTCATTTTGACAAGCAAAGCACTTTCTTGTAGCAATAAGAGTTAAATCATTTACTGCATTACTTTTAGAGGCACCAACATATCTTCATTTGCGGGATGTATGCCACCATCAAGCCAAACATTTTGGACAAATGACAAATGGACATTTTGCTCACACCTGAAGACTCCACGGCTGAAATGTTGTTTTTTTTCTTCTCTTTTCAGCATGAAATAAACCTATTACTTGTTCCGTTTTGGACAAAATAGTGATTCCGCAGAAAGCAATGTTAAATGTTTATTTTAGCCCTCTTGGAGTTAAAAACAGATTTGTTTAACAAAGAATAAGTTGTTTGGTCACATGATTGACCAACGACATTTTCAGACAAAGCATGAGAAGCATTTCAAGTATGAGGCGAACAAGGCTGAGTCAATCAAGTGGGCCACAGCAACAAAAAATATATAACTTTATATATGAGATTTTCTCAGTTGTTTGGATGTTCAATGGTTTATCACATCACCAGAATAATGGACAGATCTTTGTCTGCTATATCAGTGAAGAAACAAGTGAAATGGCACCAAATTTGAGCTTAAAGAATTTTGTGTAGCTGGACCACACTGAACAGTACTTGCAATACTGTGACTCAAAAGGAATTTGACAAGAACTTTGCTGCCTAAAATCCAAGCACAGCAAAGCAGTTAATCATTTTGATGAAAATTGCCGTGCAACCAATGTTTCTGGTGGAATGTGCATCTAAAAGAGCTCACACTCTGTCTGCAAGGAGTGAACAATATCGGTGTGGGTCATTAAAACAAGGAAGGTATTTCTTGCAAAACTTGGCAGATTTGTTCTTGGGACACTGACACCTTGACTTTTTGCTATTTCCAACATCATGAAAAACTACCAAATATCGCACATACAGTGCCTTGCGAAAGTATTCGGCCCCCTTGAACTTTTCAACCTTTTGCCACATTTCAGGCTTCAAACATAAAGATATAAATTTTTTAT